GTACCCAGAACCCTCTAAACAAACGGCCGCACTAATTCTGGCTGGGATTGTAACTCCAATTCCCCGGGTTTTGATTGTGACTCAAATGAGGGTACACCGTGGATGGCAACTCAATGTTGCCAGGGAACAAGTTAGAAACCCTGCAACTGTAATGTTGACCCCATATTTTTCTCAACCCCAGTTTACCAATATATGGGGGTGTTCCCCTCCAAAGTGATGATTCCACACTAAACCCCCCCATATTCATAAACTGGGGTTGCGAAAAGTATGGGGTCGACCTTCAATTCCGTTGGTTTGTGACTCACTTTCCCCGCGGTCCAAGTGACGCGAGCTGCCCCAAGCGCCTCGCAGGGCAGGCCCAGGCGCTCCGCGTTCCGCGCCGCGCAGCTCTGCGCCAAGGGATCTGCGTCGATGGCCACGGCGGAAGCTGAAGGGAAGCGCCTGAGACTCGAGGCCGCTGGATCGGCACTGGGCGGTCCGTTGTCTGGTTTTCCCATCCCCTGCGAAAAGTGCATGATTTGTGGTGGGTTAACTGGAAACCCAACCACTAAACCAACTATGGACCTGCAAAAGCTAAGGGGACGGCCGGGAGCCGCCCAGATCAAAATAGGGATTCGGAGCCTGAAAACACATGGCTTGCTTTTCACGGTATATCCTCAACACCATTGGGTCTGTCGCACCACTTTGGGGCTACAACAAAAGAACTGAAAAACGTCCCAAAGAAAGGTGCGGCAATCCCGATCCCATCATTGGACGCGAAAGGGAAACCCTGGCAACTCCAAAAGAAACCTGTTGCCGCCCTATGAATTTATCGTGCATTCCATTTCTACTTATGTAACTAGGGTTCGCGTGTTTCTTGTTTAGATCCAAAAGGCATGTCAGCAAACAAGAGGATGTCCAGGGCGAGTCTCGATTAACTCGCTCTCATTAGCCCTCCACATCAAGCTTCAGTCTGGCATTATCTGACTTCCCACGTGCGAATCTTGATATCTAGTGATGGGTTGCAACCTGAACGAGGCAGTGGGGAGGGCTCCCGTCCCGGGTCCCACGCTCCATTTCCAAAACGCAGTTGGAGACAGGAGTCTTGTTTACCCCGGACGGAGCAACTGTCTGCAGGGGTGGTCAATGCGTTATTGTGTATGTGCAGTCGGGGTGTTGGGGGCAAAAGATCGAGCCGGTTTCTGCAGGAACGCTTTTATCCGGGCAAATCATGATATGTCTCCCACGTGAAGTACGTGACCTCCAAGAAACTTCGTCCGTTTCTGAAGTCCGCAAAATTATGGGCCATCCATACCCCTGGGAAAAACGCGGAGCACTTTTACCCACAAGAACACGTTTCAGGCCTCGCGGTATGCCGGCGCCTCCATTTGCTGGTGAGTTGGAATGACCCCGAAGTGAACCTTGCTTTTCTTACCCTCCCACCAATTAACATGGAGCCAGACTTCTGAGGGTCCTGGAACACCAATTTCCTTTCAAGGGACCGGGTCCCGAACGTCAGGTTCCATGTTAATTGGTGGGAGGGTAAGTGCATTCCAAAAAGCGGATTGACTCCTTACCTATCGAAGCTAATCTTCCGGCCGGGCTGGGGCCCCACGCGCCAGCAGCGCCAATGCCAGACAGCCACTGCCTCAGCGAAGCTTCGTGGGTTCCAGGTTCCCATTTGGGCTGGTCTTAAAGAGGATGCACGGTTTGGCAGTCCACAAAAAACAAACAGGTACCCTCAAGAAAGACACACCCATTTCCAGGGAGTTTCTAAAACCGGCAGAACACCCAAGGGCGGCGATGATTGTTCAACCAAAAACAAAAACACATGTTCGTCAAGGTGTCCCCAAGAACCGCCTTTGCGCTCCTTTGCACCCTTCGCCGATCCGGAGTTCCGGGGCCCACTGAACGCGAGGCCCAAAGCTTCCAGCGTCTCGACACGGTTCAGAGAAATCGATGGGGTCCCCGCCCCCGCGGGAAATATGGAAAAGTTGAGATGAAAAGTGAGTGCCCTCCCAAAGCTCCAACACTTTACGCGTTGAAAAGGCCACCCCCGTTTGGTTGGTGAAGCTGAAGGAAGCTACCCGACTTCCCCTTTGAATTAGAAGCCGCAACGACAAAACACGATTTCAGATCTCCGCCAGTGGCTGAAGTCCCTGCAGTCCAGCTGGCTGAGCCAAACCGCAGAAATATAAATTTGGCTCGTTCTTTGCCTTCAGCATTCCTTAAAAGGCGCAAAAGTGTGTTTGTTTTCCCAAATATTGCTCGACCATGTGCTTCTTCAACAAGTAAGATGTCATCACAGATTGAACAAGATTGAAACAGGTCGTCCATCAACCGAGCCGACTACTGCAAAGGAAAAAGCCCACGCAGCCAGAGCCGTTTCCTTCTCGCGAGTTCATCGCGCCTGTGCCGCAGTCCAGGATACGAAGGTTTGAGGTACACGGAGCACCTGGAGCTCTGATGGGGCGTGAGTTTTCATAAGGGACCCTTTGGTCAAAATTCGGTGGGGAGTCAGGTGAACCTGTGAGGTCCCCTGTGACAACTCACATATATATATATATATATACAAATATATGACGAAATGTACAAAACAGCCTTCTCGCGCCATCTCAAGTTTTTCTGACCCTTTCAAAGATCACCCCCGAAGGCAACTCGTTGCACTCTCGGATCGATGTTGTGTGATTTGTGCTGTGCAAAAGCCATTGAGTTGCTCAAGCGGGGTCATTCGCTTGCAAGCCAAATGGGTTTGATTTCGCCATGGCTCCGCTTTCCGGGGCCTTTCTCACTTCCTGAGTGCATTAGTCAGAAGTCCAAACTTGTTGTTTGCCACGAAAATGCTCTTCCAAAAATCTTGATGTCCATGAACTCAGGGATGGAGCTTTTTGAATCAAAGGGGAAGCATGGAGTCTAATCTTCACCCCGGATCGATCAGAACGCATGGGGTATGTGTTGGCCCCGGGTCAACGCTACACCTGATGGATCCCGTTCTCAAACACAGGAAAAGGTGTCTGTTTCTAGGGAAACACACAAAATGGTGGTTGTCCTTTTGGTTTTCCTTTAAAATGTAAACCATCAACAATGAGAGTACCCTCCAAAGCCACACACACACACATGCGTGTTCCAGTCATATTTTCAGGAAGTCCAAATGTGGAGACAACAGGCCGAACTCTGACTCAGGGCCTTTGGATGCAGCTTCCACAATTGGCAAACCAGAGCGCCGCGGAACGAAGACGCCTGGCAAATGAGCGTCTTCTGAAATCAAGACAACGACTCCTGTAGGGTGACAGTAAAACGGGATTCGCTCGAGCGCGGGCCAAGGGAACTCTCAGGGGCCCTTCAGTTGTGGCTCTGTTGAGCCGGAAAATATCAAGACTCATGTGTGTGTGTGTGCTTGTTTTTGAAACACAAAAACAAAAACACAAACAACACAAACTCACACACACACACACCGACACACACACACAGAGACACACACACACACAATGACAATTCATTTAATGTGTTCTCATTGCCGTGCCAAGCGGCGGTCCCATAAGATTACTGCCCCAAACCAACAGTATTATGTAAAGCAGCTCAAAGCCACCGCGCAAGCGGTATATTATACACATACAATGCCATGTTTGTACAACGCCACGTTTGTATCTTTGGCTTCCCCCCACTCAGTTGGGAATGGTGTTGAACAAGAACCAACAGGAAGTCAACCATCAAAAGGCGGCGGTGGTGGTGGTGGTGGTGGTGGTGGTGGTGGTGCTGGTGGTGCTGGTGGTGGCGGTGGCGGTGGTGTTGCTGGTGCTGGTGCTGGTGGTGGTGTGGTTGTTGTGCCAGTTGTGCCAGTTGTGCCAGTTGTGCCAGTTGTGCCAGTTGTGCTAGTTGTGCCAGTTGTGCCAGTTGTGCCAGTTGTGCTTGATGTTGCTTGCACTATGGGTATGTGTCAACATAGGCCCCCCCGGAAAAAATGTAAGTGTTCCTTTTGCTTCCCTTCAAACCAATGTGCAACGGGCCCCTTAACACTGCGACCCATACAAATGCATCCAAATGCCAGAATCCATTGAATACCTGGGCAGTGGACCGCTGCGGACGGACAGCTGCGGACGGACAGCTGCGTTTTGCATCGCTTGCACGGCTCCATGCAAAGGGCTCGCTGCGTGGGACCACATACTTCACAATCAGCCTCACACACCCTAGATCTACGTCATTCCAGTGTGGCGCTGGTGCAGATCTCTTCTTCTCAGGAATTGATCTAGCTGCAGATTTGCAGATCCTCACAGGTCGGAACGCCGTTGGATCCCAATGGCCCTGTCGCCAAGTCGATGTCCAGGTTGCACCTCAGGTCCTCAGGGTCCGGCAAATCGGGCCGATGTTGCCCGGACCCCATCGGTATGAACCGACCGAGGCGCGATTGGCGTCAATCCCATTGGAGGGCAAGACCTTGCCGCTTCAAACACCGGCCCAGGAACATTGCCCCCCTCCCCGACAAAATCATCTGGAATCTCAAAGGGGGGGGTCACTCAACATGAGATTCACCCGAAATGACAGTGTGTTCTTGTGGCAAGAGTTATGTCCATCTGGAGGGCAATGTCTGAGACTTCAAACAAAGGTCAACCATGTATTGGAGTTTCTCTGAATGGACCTCCTTTGGTTGGTATCTGAAGAGGCACAAGACAACCCAACCCTTTTAGGGGATGCGTATTTTGAGAATGTGAATCTTTTGTCTTTTTCCTCTCACGTGCCCATTGAGCTTCGGAGAATCCATTGGACCATCTTCGGGGCCGAAAACCGGCGGCCTCACCATGTCAGGTTGGTATCATCTTACATCGTTGTTCCCCCCCCCACCCGAAAGGGGCAAAATAAGCCAAGCCATTGGTTCAAAATAGTCCCATCAGGTGCCATATTGCTTGTGTTTGAGGCGAGTCAGCACTTTTGGGGATGTGTTCAGAAACACCCCCAACTTTGGGTTCCTCCGGTGAGAAAGACATGCCCAAGCAGCGGTCCTCGTTTTGAGTCCCTGTCCGAAATCATGTGCCGGAGGCACGGCCTGCATCGCAGGCATGTGTCTAACAAAGATGTCACAGGGAAACCTGCATGAGCCATGGTCAAATGACGTGTGGTTCCTGCAGGACATGGAAAAAGCGGAGTTGAAAAAGTAGAGTTCGTCTGATTTCTGCTTTGCGAACCTTCGAGCTCGTCCATGCCCCTGCTCCATCTGAAACTTCAACCAAACTTCACACCCTGTGATTCCACTTCCAGTAGTATGTCATAAAGCAGCAAGGCATCCGCGACACGCTCCAGCTGTCGCGGAAGCCATGTTGGCTCCCGTATTCATACAAACCTACATGAATCAGATCGCTATGGGGAAAAATGTCAGCACCCTTCCGACAGGTAATCATGATGACCCAGACTCCGATGAGCACGGCGCTGACATGCAATATATCTGGTTAATCTTTGTGCTGTTTGCCAAACAACTATTTTTTTGCTTGCCACAGCATGCAAAAGTGGGTCTCCAATTTCGAACCCCGAGCACAAAACGGTGCGCCTGACAATTCACAACATAAACTACTAAATTTGGCAGCCATGTCCCAGTCCAACCTCAGAAAAAGGGGACCTTTCCGGGGGTTGAGAATTTTTGGTTGAACAAAGAGAGCAAAGAACTCGGGAAAGAGGCTCCACGTTTCCTGGGATTTTCTGCGGGGCTCCCTAGCTCGGGCTTTCGCATCGTCAGGGCAAAAGATTCGACAAATTCTCGCACTAAGTGTCACCTTTGACAGCCTCAACATGACAACCCTCCCAGTGATTCCATTTCCCAGTGCAGCAGGTAGCCAAGGGAACCAGACTTTAAACAATCAAAAGGAATGGCGAAGGAATGGCGAAGGGTTCCTACTATATCGGCAACTGGGATCCACTGGGCCAAATAAACGGGGGTATAAAACAAAGAACATAGTTGGCGAGTCCATTACCCTCCCTTCCACCAACATAGCACCTATGGTAGGGCACCTGGAAGATCATTGCTCTTGTGTAGGGTCCCCCCGGCAGGTGCCATGTTAGTGGGAGTGAGGGTAATTGAAACTGTATCGATCCCCATCACGACCTATCACGTAATTCCCAAAGTTCGTGCGATCTAGGATGCAAGGTAAAGAAGTTTCAAGGAGCTGGATACGACCATTGGCCGGCCTCCCACTAAACCACCCCTTCGCACAAGGCTTCAGCTAGTTTGTATCAGGGTTTCACCGTCATGGGACAGCTGCAACCTTCCTTCAGTGCGTTCACCACAAGGATCGGCTTATTCACATGATACACGTTCGTCCTTGAACTTGCGTGAAAATCGTGTCTCTCATCCATGACAACTCCTGGTGGTTCAGTGAAGAATCATCGATACGTCCAGTGCGCACCAAGCCCTCCGTCTGGTGCGTACACTCGTGCAGAACGCATCCAACACTTGTGGGACCAGATCAAAAGCAACAAGTGTTTTGTTTTTTTTTGCACCCTCCAAAATTGCGGTTTTCCTTTTGGATTCCTCTTGAAACCACCAAAAACAGGGTACCCTCAAAAAAGACACGCCTACTAATCCGAAGTTCATGGAATCGCCCATCGGCCGCCTCCCCAGACTTCGCACGCCGCCCTCACTGCAGCTGCTAGTTGGTCCTCTAAGGGCAGCTCTGCTGCCACAAGCAGCGCAGCAGCCACGATCTCCGCGTGGTCGAAGCTCCAACTCTTTGTGGCCAGCTCCTGCCACTTCGCTTGGCCCGGATGGGCTCCCGATGAAAATCTCCCCCAACCCTGGGCGGTGTATTTTACGTGCTTTCCGTGAGAGGCGTCTTTTGCCAGGTGCACTGAACAATTCGGGCGCCCCAGCAAAAACAAGCAGAGGGATTACCAAAGGACGGGCTGAACACATAGATTCACCGGTGTCAAAACTAACGGCAGAAAACGTGCTTTGGCGCTAGAAAACAAGCTTTCACACCAATTTCACGGTAATATCATGGTGACTTTGGCATGGACCAAGGTTCACACCAAAACTGTCTTGTGTCAAGACATGTTGCGGTGAAACTAGCTTCGTGGAATCTAAAGGTAGCAACCGGATGAGTAATCCATCAAATAGCACGCCATGGCTCATTGCAAGGCGCAAAAAACAGACTTTAGCTGCAAAAAACAGGCGAGGTGCAAAGGACGTTTAAACAACAATCGTGGATTTCTAGGACCAAGATATATAGTTCAAGTACATAATCTCCGGATGGGTTCCAGCGAACCAAAACATCACACCAAGAGGAAACTCACTATTGCCCGAAAGGTGATGCTTGAAAATGATCTAGAAGCAAAAGGTCGATTCAGCTCGAAAGGTCGGCGGGCAAGCAGAAGGCTTGGAAGCTGCATCTCAGCATCTCGGAACGCGAGCCTCAAGGGATTACTGTCTCCCCATGGCATCAAGAGCCTTGGGGCGATGTGGAAGATTGAGGCCAAGAAGCAGTTGCGAACGTCCTTTGGCAAAAAGAACTTCGAGTTCCACTGCGCTGCCATCACTTCCAGGCGGCGAAGAAATCTAAAAAAGAATAACAAGCGGAAGGCTTGCATTGAGACCATGCATCCGGTTCCTTGCGGGATCTGCTCGTAGCCTTGGGTGACAAAAAGGGGGCGCACGATGCAAACCGCCTGGGCTTCAACAACGCACACAGTTTCACGCGGCCATGAAAGTTCACGGGGAACCGCTCAAAAGTGCTTGGTGGACACACATCCCCACCTAAATAAGGTCCACCAACCAAAGCACACAGCGGAGGTGACCCTGACCTAAAGTTGAAATGCCAAGGGGAGAACTCAAAGTAAAGCTTGCCTTTGCTCGAAAATTCAAGTGCCCCTTGGTGTGTCACATTTCTCACGTCCTGAGCGGATTGGCCAGACAAAGTCCAAACTTTTGGTTTCAATACAATAGTCTTCCCAAAAAGTTAAAAGTCCAGGGAAACATCTGCCGCCACTAATGTGCAAACACGAAAAGAACACGGCTCCTTGAGTGGCTGAAACCGCGCCGTGGCCGCATCATCCCCCGCCTGCCGGGAAGAGGGGGGGATTCCTTAAACCGTGGACTCCGAAAGTGGTCGCTTTCCCTGTTGCTTCCTTATACACAAACCGGGAAAGGGTAGCCTCAAAAGACACGCACATATCCGGATATATATATATATGTATATGCATGTATATATATATATACACATACATGTAAGTTACACAAGATTTGGGAGTTCAACACAGTGTGATCCCTGGGTGCCTATTTGGGATCGTCGGGCTCCAAAAACAACACGTGTCTTAAACGGATTCAGCTACCCCCAAACCAGCTCACCCAGGGCAAATAGAGTCTATGACCGCTATTAAGAGGTGCATGCCCATATATTTTGGTCGGCAATGGGAACGTTACTTCAGCCTCTTCCGTGCTTCTTGGCACAAATCCCGGGTAATTACTTAGACAAAAGCAATATGCTCTGACTCGGTTTCATAGTCTACCTCAAGTTTGAAATGTGTTTGGCGGAGACCCCATGTTTGGAGTAAGTGGTGCATGGGATGCCCATACACGTGCTTGCAAATCGGAGCATGGATCTTTCTCCGTGGGCCCAACTGCAGCGTGTAGCCAAAACTCCTATCCATGTCCATCACCTTAGCTCCCGTGGTGTTCATGCCCAGCCCAATCCCTAGGTGGTCAGGAAAGGTGTCCGTGCACCTGAAGAGGTTCATTGCCTTTTCATACACGAAGCATCACTGGCATTATCGTAGCTCAGCGGCAGGTTTGATGCTTCTTTTTGGGGCAGGCTTCCATGTTTGGGGGGAAATCAACAATCACCGGGTTTTAATCTACCTTGCACTAGTTAACATGAAACACTGATGCCGCATACCCCGGAATCGGTGAGCTCGCCATAGAATAGGGAAACACAAAAAATCCTCCCCCTGTTGTGTTTAGGCTATGTACGCGTCTTGGGTTAACCAAAACCCTGGGCGAAGTCAACCTTGGGCTAAAACAACGGCTATATGTTTGGGGATAGGGAAGCCCCTCGAAAGTGGGTGGTGGACATGGGTGTGTCTTGTTTTAGGGGACCTCCAAAATGGCGGTGTTGCTTTTGGTTTCCCTTTAAACCAAAGAAAAACGGGGCTCCCGGAAAACAAATGACCGACCCACATGAATCAATCCCCCACCTTTTTCCGCTTCCCGCGTGCCTGGCAGTGCCTAGAGGGCGCGAAGGCCAAGAAGGCGTCCGTGGTGACCGGGCCCCGGGGGTCCCGGTTCGGGGTGTCGAAGCGGGCCACGAAAGTGAGAGGCAGCCCGGACACCTGGGTCTCCTGATCGGACGCCTATGTTTTGACAGTATCTGTTGTTTTGCCTGTTTTCTTTTCTTAACAAAGCTGCTGCTGAAAGGGGCGATCGGGTACGTCAGGTAAGTGGGTAGTCATGGCTTTTGTGATAACCAGGCTTTCTAACCACTTGCTAAGTCAATGCCCCTTGAAGCAAAAGCTGGTAACGTTAAGTGTAGTTCTCCCCCTTTGTGGCCATGACTAAAAATGGTTCCCCAAAACGGGAAACTAAAAGGTTCAAAGGTCGGCGTTGGGCAAGTGAGAATACTGTGAATGAACAAAATCCACAAGCCACACCAGTTGGGATGGAAGCTCTATGAATGGGATAAACCACCAGGTGCAGAAGTTTGTCCACAGCATGTATTACTCTTTTGCAAATCCCAAGTTGCGAGGTGGAAGCAATAGACATGTGGTGCCATTGTTTCTTTTCTTGCGGGAGGCCTCTCTTCCCGCAACTGCCTTCTTTTCGGCTTTGTCTTAAAGGGAACTCTTTTAAACCAAAGTAGCCGGTTGGCACCGCCGGCAACAAGTCAAGGTCACAGCCTTCGCTCAGGGAAGTAAGGTGACCTAGCTGAGTGACGCGTAGGAAAGAGCGAGCCCTTGGAGTTGACCAAGTAATTCGGAAATTTGGAGTACCTTGAAAAATCTGGCCACTTGCAAGGCCTAAAATGTTCTACAACCCCTTTGCAGGGGTCAATAATTTTATCCTTCAATCATCACCGCTTGGGGGCACTCCGTTTGCCTATGGTGATGCTAAAACGCCCAGTTTTGGGTTCCATTTGTTGCTTACCCCAAAGAAGTTTCAATCATGGCACCCTAGGAATCGCAATTTCCAACCCTATTGCCAGGAACTGAGTTTCAAGGACCAGAAAAGTCAGCTAGACCCCTAGCCAGCACGGTTTTCCAATCCTTGGCAGGTGACCAAACAAGAAGTTTTGTTTGCAGGCAGTCACCAAACATGAACGGAACCAAAACACGCAAACAAGACACAAAGACAACACATCCAAACACTGTGAAGACAGTCTCTCCAAACTTCCCCCTCCTCACCTGTCCAAAGGACCTTAAACTAAAAGGTGATCGCTTTACCTTTGGTGACCTTGACCAAACATGGACAACTGGAACACTTTGCAAATGTCAGGATTTGTTCTCAAAACGTGGCTTCGATTCGCTTGGATCGTTTTTTTGGAGCATCCCGTGAGCGCCTCCTGCAGCTCCCGGCTCGCCGCCTCGATGGAGGCCTCGTTCTTCTCCACGAAGCCCCCGGGCAGCGCGAGGCAGCCAGGGAAGGGCCAGTGCTTTCGGGTGATGGTCAACAGCCTGGATCCGTTTCGACATCGATCCGTTTCCGGTTTCCGCCCAGGTCGTTTTTGAGAGGTTCCTTTTATCAGCTTGTTTGTTTTTGGCATCACATGTCTGGCCACCCTTGGCTATTTCCCTTACACCCCGCCCCGCACGGGAACCCCGGGCTTCCAAGGGCTCAAGAAATCCCAACCCCCCGGGTTTCCCCGAAATGAAATGCCGAAAGACCGGCAACCCATTTCGGGTCGTTTGGAGGGAGGCAGAAAACGGGGGAGAGGCGACAAAAGGGAAACTGGCATTAGCTGACCCCCCCAAGTAAGTAGATTTCGACTCATGGCGAAAAGCTTTCACTTCTGGTAGGGAACATGGAAGGAAAGTCCAAAAGGCAACAGTTGGAAACGTAAGCCTTTGGTCTGGCGGGCAAATTGAGGAAGGGGTCTATTTTTGGTTGCAAACAAGAGGGCTGGTTTGCGGAGTTAGGGCCAGTTCAGAGTTGACTTACATTTTTCCAATTGATTCCTGTGTGTTGGTCTGGGGGTTAGGTCAGGGATTTTAGGCGATGAGAAAACACTAAATGGCCTTGCGTTTTTGGGCTTGGGGTGGATTGGGGTGGGATTTTGGGAGATTGTTGCAGGTGATGTGTGCAGGTTTGGGTTTGGGGAGTTGATTTCAGGCTGATGTGATGTAGGTCCTCGGGGTCGGTTTTAAGGCCTCGATTTGATTTAGGCATGAGGCAGGCCCAAAAGATGCAGACGAGCCGTGAACAGAGCACGAGGAGCCATGAACAAAGAGGTGCAACAATTGTCATGGTCGGAAAAGCAAGCACCACTACCAAACACACACGGGCAAACAATAGGTATATGTGTTAAAATAGCGGCACAGTAAAATAGTGGGTTGCCTTGTGGTGTCCCTTTCAAACAAGGTGAAAAAGGGTACCACAACAAAAAACCATCCATATTGACTACACACACAACACAAACGATGGAATGCCTCAAGCTCAATTATGAAGCCTTTGTGTTGCTGGCAAAACACATTGCAAATGAATGTTGTGGGAAATCACACAACTGCTCCCCGGAAAAGCCAAAGGAAACGAATGATTTATCATGTATAGCGCTTTGGCCATGAAGCACACCTTTCGTGGATTTTCAACTGCAAAACGGGGGGGGGGAGAACAGTTGTTGATTTTGAAGGGACACGACAAGTTGGCACTGCCCAAGGAACCCAACAACAATCACGAGATGTCCCCTGCGAAAGCTACAATTTTGGCCAGATGACCATGGGCAACTTTTCCCATTTAGTGGGATGTATCATCTGTTTGGTGGTTTCCCAAGGTCATCCCATGTTCATCGGAGCTTTTGCTCCCCCATTCGCTCGGCTCCAATGAGGTACGTGAACACGGCCCAAAGGCGCCAAGCAGCTCCAGTTCCTCGCCCAGGTAGAACACCAAAATGTCCGCAGTGTACCGTGTGGGCTTCGGCATACGTTTGGGCTAGCGCGCGCGCTTGGGAGAAGCTGGCTGAAGCTCAAACGACTTTGGGCCTGCTACAGTTCAATCTTCTGGGGGTCTGCTATGTTCAAGCTTTTGAGGTTTCAACTCCTTCTTGTGTTTTTGGGCTCGCAGCTGGCTGTTTCATGGCGATGCTGGTGATCCATCAGATTCTGAATGCCGAGACGGGCGAGGTTGTCGATTTGGGAGGCTTATCCTCTTGGGTCTTTGCGCTTAGTTTAAGGGGCACCAACAGGAAGCCGCAGGACAACAAGAGGGAAACCACAGGAAAACCAAGCCAACTGACTTTCGAGAATGACGCAAAAGAGGGGTAAAAAGAACATCTGTGATACAGAAAATCCAATATTATCTGACTCTGATCCACAATATTATCTGACTCTGAACCATATTTATTTCCCTGTACATTAATGGACGGAACCCAGTCCATCAAAAGGAGTGTACTCTCCAAATGGTAGTTTGTTGGGTTCCATGTTAATCTGCAGGGGTAGTCTACCCTAAAATGTACGATCGTGCCTAAACATGACGGTGATCCTGTTGATTTCTTGTAAGCCAAGTGACAAGAGGTACCATCCTAGAAACACACACCCAAATGGGAAGCATCGATCCTGTGGGAAATACGTCAATCTGATTAGGGGAGTACCATGAGGGGCCAAGTGGTGAACGTTTTGCTCGTATTCTGACGACTTCACCTGGCCTTAACGTCCTCCACAACTCTACGTACTTAAGCCCTTGTAGGAGCTGGGTGTTGAATAGAGCCTCTAAACAAATTGAACAAGCAACAATCGATTTCCGCTTCCGGTTCCTGGCGGCACTTCCAGGTCGAGGCCATCGAACACAGCGCAGCCGGCGTGGTGCTCCGTGCGGCCGTGCCAGTTCGAAGCCTGAAACCCAAAGCTTAGCCCTGGCTCACATCTGGCACCGAAAATCAGATCTGATTCTGCTTCATATGTGGGTCATGTTTGCTTCAAACAATCAGATTTGCTGATCATGTTTCCTCTGGGGGTCAAAATTATTAACCAGGAATTGGACCGCAGGTTTTAGTCCATTCCATTGACTGACATTTAATTTGGGGTCACCCTGTTTTTGACAACCACACCTAGGCTGCCCTCAGATTCCCTGCTACAAGCTTTACTTGCGGTGGGTCAAACCAGTCTTGCTGGCCAAGCGCCCGCATGTGGGTGGTAGAGATACCAGTCTGGGACGAGCATCTAACCAGAGAAGAAAACTAGCAAACAAAGCGACCCAAGCGCTTAGTGAGTTAGTGAACAAAGAAACAATTGTCCGAAAAAGGTCGAGGCTAAAAAAAGAAGGGCTCCTTCTTTGTTGGTCGATTTGCTAGGAAAACCCGGCCCAAACAAGAAAAAGAGGTGCCCTAAGCTGGGTAGTGGTAGCTGAAACCATTGGGCAAAATGATCCCCTGACTTTGGGTGAACCAGGTAAAGGCAGGCAGGGCCGTGGACCCATCCCTTCTCGGCAACCACAAAAGCCGGATCAAACAATTGCGTAGCGAATTCTGACTTTTGCTTGGGGACCCTTTCCTTGGTGTCAAATTTATGCTCACAAACTATTGAATAGGGCACTCCTCATTATCATTAAAATACCATAGTTAGGAACCAACAAAGCAACCCTCCTGACAGGAGCGGGCGGTCCTTCATTTTCTGCAAAAATATTTACAGAGAGAGAGAGAGAGAAATAACGGAGCAACAGAATCAACCACCTTTTCGAGGTGAAGCATGGACACCACAAACTCCCAGGTGGTATCCCCAATAGCAACCCTCTTGGCACCCTTCCAGAGCCTTGGCTTGTGTAGTCCAACCCTTCAGGGTTCCAAACGTCAACCCCCGACGTGTTCATTTCCCTCATGCATCCAAGGTATTGATCAAACACACGGCTATGTGTCATAGGACCCCGAACACGGTTTGCCGCTTTCCTTGTTGGTTTCCCTGTGAACCCAAACGCATCGAGCCTCAACACCACACCTGGGTATGAGTAAAACCTAAACCACCAGGGCACCGGCTGGCCTCACCGAACCTTTCGCCTCCTTCCCCGAGCGCCGCGCGGAACGGCGCTCCAGCGCCGCCGCATCCGTCTGCAGCAAGCGCTGGAAGCTGGGGGGCGGGGCCAGCAGAAATGCGCCGGCCTCGTGCCTGGCGACTGGCGCAACGTGAGCCAGGGGTCCCTACTCAAAGGGACCATCGATTCGGTACGTCAGGTAAGTGGAGCCCGGTGAGATAGCCGAAACCATGGTCAGTCTCTGTTCAGCGGGTTATGACCTGGCTTAGTAACCACTTGCTAAATACCCGGTCGCCCCTTAACTAGACAAATCTCCGGTCAGATTTCCAGTTTGCTTTCCAGGGGTAACCCGGGACGAAGCGAACTGTTGGTGCCGCTTCAGTGGCACTCCGAATCACTTTTGCGGGTGCCACCCCCGCCCCCATTGGAAGGGGGCCCTGAGGCTTTCAACTGACCGACTCATGATTCCACAAAACCTCAGGCAGTCAACAAAAAACACATTGGAGAAAGGGTCTCTCGAACTCTTGACCATCTAAGCTGAGGTTCCGAACCGTCACAAATCGGATTGCCGAGCCTGGCAATGGCAACTGCACATGGTTCTGAGTTGTGAGATTTCCCTGGCTGGCTGAAAATGGCCCGCATGAAAGCTGCCCTCCCATTCAACCAAAAAGAAGGTATCTGGAACATCGTTTTTTCCTAGCGGGGCGCGGGTGCCATGCTTGGTGAAAAAGCTTGCCAGGACTTGTTGGGAACATGGCTTGTCTCAACAGGGAATCTGCCGGCTTGCACATTGTCCCTCAATTGCTTAGAATATCAACAAACATCTGGTACGGGGCCGTCATATCCAACAAAATGTCTGGAACGCCCAAAATATGATCTGTATAATATGCAGTCTGGACTTTGGATACTGTGTCCTTGCCAAAAAGAAGCCAACAAGTTTCAGGCTTCCCTATTGCACCCACTTACCAATGAAGTTCTTGAAGTTGGTATGTATCAAGATGGATGAAAGGTATGTTAAGATTACCAGTATTTGAAAGGTAAACACAACGGAGTTCGTGGCATCAAAATCCAATGTTTCTCAGTGCTTTCAGTGTCCACAGCACACATATCAGAATAAGCAAGCTCATATAACACAACTATCAGAGTCGCATGTCATTGTGACCCTTGTGAAACATGGCCGGTAGGGTCCCCCGCATTCATCCGAGGTTAACCTTAGTCTTTAGGGATGGTTCGCTTGATTTCCCGGAGGCGATAAACTTGGAGGGATAAGAAAAAGAAAGGTCACCTTAGAACCATCAAAAAACATGTTAACACCATGTTTATAGACCATGTCGTGTTCACCTGAAACGGGGCACCCACGATCTCCGCTCTCCGCGACAGCTTTTTTGAGGCGCTTTGGGCGGAAGGAAATAGGTGCGCCGGCGCCAGCTCGGCGCGGGCAGAAGACGGAAGGAACGAATGGCCGGGCTGCGAGACGTAAACCAAAACATGTGGGGTGTTTTGTTGTTTTTTGAGTTGGCACCCTGGCTAAACAAAAGTATGGTTTGTCGAGTTGGTAATTACCCTTTTCAGGATGGCTTCGACGGGAGACCAAAAGGAGACCACCATTTTGGGCTCCGATTGCAACACATACCGCAAACATTTGTGACTTGGGAAGGTCCCAGCGCTGAGCGGCTGTTCGTCCCTGCGGGGAAAAGTGAACGGTGGTCAGAGTTGGTTTTGTGCAAGAAGTTGACCTCCGTTTGCTTAAGCCCCCTGGACAAAATGAGAAAATATGTCCAGTAGTGATAGATTCCTTTTGTAAGAACCAACCTGGGAAATGCAAACCGCGTCGAACGTTCCAACCGGGTTTCCTCCATTTCCCTTTTTGGATCCAACAGTGGCGATCGTTTCAATGAACACTACCAGTAAATCGATCATTGTTTGAAGCTTGCAATCCGGTGACCCCTGTGCCACGAGAGAAGACAACTGAAACTCGTCTCGATATGCTGCGTCTCGCGCTGAACGAAACTCGGCGTGGAAAATGTGCGGCTTGGTCGCGGCCAAGCCTCACTTCCTGAGTGGATTGGCAAAGAAAATCCAAACTTTGTTGTTTACCACTAAAACAGTCCTCCCACAAAGCAGCAAGTCCAGGACAACTCAGGAAGTGAGCTGTGAATTAATCCTCCAAGTCCAGTCCCAGGTACTCCCGGTACCACTTCTTCTGCTGCCTGGCAACTCGGGCTTGCTCAAAGTTTGGAACCGTTCGAAAGGGGATTTCAAACAGGGCTGTAGCAGGGAACCTCTTGGAAGGATCACCTCTTAGCTTCCACAGGGTCAGTCAGTCAACAATTTATTTCCGAAAGGAGAAGCCCAAAGGACAACCACTGAAACTGCAGAAACAACCCGAAAGGGTAAATGGGCGGTTGCCCCAGTCAACCATGTATTTTGTAAGGGAGATCTTATGTTTGTGGGTGCCCCTCTTTAGGTGGGTTTTAAAGGACAAACCCCAAGGACAACCTAAACAACGTCCAGGGACAAGCTTGAGCCATCCCGAGGCCCGACAACGGGCTGAATGGCCTTTCAACCAATTCTATGGTTCGTTTAGTTGACTGAACAGACATGTTTTTTTTTTCCAGCAGCTGAAAGCGTTCTGGGGGTCGACAGGCCCAGATAGGCGATAAGGAAGGGGTGGTTTGGGGGCCGCTTTCAGGGAGGGTTCCGGAGGAAATACAGGGGATTCAGGGGCTGTTGGGGATATCACCTGGGCATTGTCTTATTGCCCAAATTATTTGTTTGGTGTGCGAGGCTTGCCTAAAATCATGAAGAAACCTGGCAATGAAACATAGTGCGCTAATTCAATAGGTGCAACACACAGACTCAAAAGATATGGGTCGTTCAGCATATAGACACACCCAACAAAATGCGCAAACAAATGCATGAACAAGCTGCCTACTCACCAAATGTCCATGTGAGAGGGGGACACTAGGAGTAATGGCCGTGAATGGGTATGTTTTAAAATAGGGGTATTCCTGGATGTCCTGTTCTTGTTCCTTGAAATCTAATCCAAAACGGTACCCTCAACAATCACACGCGCACACACATCTCTGGCAGAATTTCCGAGCGAGAATGCCTGCCGCCCTCCAGAGCGAGAGTCACGTCTGCCAGGGTGTTCAGCTGTCCTCGCGCAAGCTCAACGTGTGCACATACAGTACTTCATGGCAAAGCAACTGTTTCAAAGGGAGCTTCCGACAAAAGGAACGGCATTTCCAACAAACAAGTAAAACTAAGGGAAGCCCTCTCCCCAACAAAAAGGACATAAGTGCACTGGAGGTCTGGGGCTACTCAGCGAAACCACAATGACACAAACTCTTCAAAAGCACGGCAAATACCAGCGCTTCAGAAAGTGAAGCACACGGAACGTCACCAGCCGCCAGCCAGCCCCTGACACAATACACGAAAGCAAGGTGCTCCGATCCTGGACCCTGTCTCTTTGGTCCAAGCTGGCTTGACCACACAGAAAGGATGTAAATGGGTGTGATTCTGTAGGGGACAGCACACATGTTCTCCTGTTGATTTTGTTGTTTAACCAAAAAGACCTAAATGGAGTCCAAAAGGCTGGGTTGGAAACAATCCAAGTTACAAGGACTCTAAGACAAAACATTTGCCCTTCCCGCACGCCTCCAGCTTTCAGCCAACGTTCCTGACACAGCTGATGAAGCAACTTATGCTTCAAATGTGTCTTTACTGGTTGATGTGAGGGTTGATCAACAGGTCCTTTACATGGGATGACCATTTGGGAAAACCACTAAAAACACAATCTGTCCCACAACATGGGACAGTTACCCATTGTCATTTGGGGGCCAGGAATATTGATCACCTCCCATATGATGAGTTCCTTCAGAACATGATTGAAGCGCAATATGGACATTCTTCAACATCCTTCCAGCAATAGCTGGAAAACGCAGGAGGGCAATAGACCGCAGAGCAAAAGCTGTCCCAGAAACTTTGTGCGAGCGGGGGAAGCTGCCACTTCTGTGATGTCAGGGGTCGGGCGAAGGATCAAGGGGTTAGCGGCAAACATTGCAAAGTAGAGAAACCATATGTTTATACGAACCCCCAGGAGGGTTCTGCGAGGGGAGGGGGCGTTCTGCAAAGGGGGTGGGTACGGACTGACGTCTTTCACTCTCCTTACAGTCGCCCTTCCCTCCTTCGGTTGAGTTCAAATTGATTCAGCTTGGAATCTGGTTTTCATTCTCAGGTGGCTCTGTGTCATATGGGGAACCCCCCCCGAAAGGTGGCTTTTCACTTGGTTGCCTTTCAAAGCCAACCCCATGAGAACCGAGCCTCAAAGAAACAGGGCACTGCTTGCCTGGCGCGGCATGGCCATGATCTCCGGCAATGTCACCTGCCTTGGGTCGAAACGGCTCCGTTTCCACAACGCGGACTGCATTACTACCTATATAGCTGGGCAAGCTGCCCAAGAATAGGAGATTTGGAGAGAAACCTTCAGCCTGGGTGACGTCGCAAACTCGCAAATCTCGTAAACCTGCCTAGTGACGTCGTTATAACTTGCCCAGACATATGCCCAAAATGGTTAGAACATTCGGGTCCCTTCCGACTCGAACAATGCTTACAATCGTATCCAGCAAACGTTCGATTTGTGACAAGTGAGCAAAAGCGTCTGCCCTACCCAGAAGGAAAGTGATCCTTAGGGAGGTTCCAAATATCTCCCTAACTTTCACGGCCAAATCCTCCAGGCGCGAAATAAAACTCGCCATCCCCAACAACTGATTTTTTGGGCAGCACTTGGGGTTCTCTGGCATGGGGAAACGGGAAACATCATTAAACACTTAATCAACGTCACCCGCCCCCCGCTCAAGTCTCAAGTACCAGGTTAAAACGGGAACAGCCGACTTTCACAACCCCAGTCATTCATGACCTCAGTTGGAGACTGTTGCTGCCACAGTTGCTCGACAACTTCCAGGGACTGATCCGCCAGCAGCCTAAGGGGAACAGACCGCAAGCCACCGCAAGCCGCGTCAAGCTGTCTCGAAATCAGTGGTCCCAAATTGAATGGTTGACTTCCTTTGGTCGCCCAAACAAAAACAGATACAAAAGATCAAAACGGGTTCCCCCGAAAGGAAGACACACA